TACAGCGTCACAAACCAGCAACCTGGGTAGCCCTACCCTGGTGAACAACTAAGGGTCCTCTCTTCATACGTAACAGGTGCGAACAGATCAAAACATGGCTCAAGAAGACCTCAGAGCCCCACAGCCCATAAATCTAAGTGAACAAGAAATTGCCAACCTATCAGAGGCACGGTTCAAAACACTGGTGATCAGGATGCTCACAGAACTGGTTGATTTTAGCCACAAATTAGAGGAACAAATGAAGGCTCAACTAATTGAAATGAGGGGAAATGCACAGGAAAGCAATAGTGATAGAAAGGAAACTGGGACTCAAATCAAGAGAGCGGACCAAAAGGAAGAAAAAAATGACCAAACGGAAAAATATAAAGAAACAAGAATTCAAAAAAAGAGGAGAGGCTAAGGAACCTCCAGGACATCTTTAAATGCTCCAACATCCAAATTATAGGGGTACCAGAAGGGGAAGAGCAACAGTCACAAGTGGAAACCTTATTTGAACAAATAATAAAAGAGAACTTCCCCAAATCTGGCAAAGGAAATAGACTTCTGGGAAATCCAGGAAGCTCAGGGAGTCCCAAAGAAGTTGGACCCAAGAAGGAACACATCAAGGCACATCATAATCACATTAGCCAAGATTAAAATGAAGGAGAGAATTCTAGAAGCAGCAAGAGATAAGGGGACAGTCACCTACAAAGGAGTTCCCATCAGACTGTCAGCAGATTTATCAAAAGAGATGTTACAGGCAAGAAGGGGCTGGAAAGAAGTATTCCAAGTCATGAAATCCAAAGACCTACAACCAAGATTGCTCTATCCAGCAAAGCTTTCATTTAGAATGGAAGGGCAGATAAAATGCTTCTCAGATAAGATCAAATTCAAGCAGTTCATCATCACCAAGCCCTTATTATATGAAATGTTAAAGGGACTTACCTAAGAAAAAGAAGTTAAAAAACATGAACAGTGAAAGGACAGCAAACTCACAGTTATTAACAACCACACCTAAAACAAAGCAAACTAAGAGGACAACTAGATCAGGAGCGAACCATAGAAATGAAGATCATATGAAGGGTTAGCAACAGGGGAGTGGGAGAAGGAAAAGGGGGGAAAAGGTACAGAAAATATGTAGCATAGACCATAGATAGAAAATAGGTAGGGGGAGGGTAAGAATAGTAGGGGAAATACAGAATCTAAAGAACTTGAGACATGTGGTCATAAACTAAAGGGAGGGTGGGGGGAGGGGTGTGCAGGGTGACGAGAATGAAGGGGGAAATAGAACAACTGTAATGGCATAATCAATAAAATAAAAAAAAACAAAGTGCTAGGTCTTATATCAGAGTTTCTGAATGAGTAGTTCTGAGTGGGGCCTGAGAATCTGCATTTCTCAGAAGTCCCTGGGTGATGCTGATGCTTCTGGTCCAAAAACCATGCTTTAAGGACCACTGGAATAGAGCATAATGGGAAGGGTCATTTCTGGGAAATGAGCTTGGGCACTAGCTGGATTCCAACCCTGAAGGGCCTTGATTTGAGAGGCATGGCCTTTCTCCTGGAGTGTGGTGGAGCACTGTGGAGTTTTAAACAGGAGAGTGAGTGGTCAGACTTGTACGTTGGGACAATCACCCTGGCAGTGTGTGGAAGATGGGCTAGATAATGACGAGATGACTGTCACTATATTCCAGGTGGGGCTGATGGTTTCGACTTCCATTTGGATGTTAAAATGTATGGGAGTCAGAGAGTGATTGAGTGTGGGGGTGAGACTCACAAGCCTTCCTCTTCCTCGGCACCTGGGTGTGGGGCAGAGCCTGTGGTACTCTCGGTGCCCATGGCTGTTGCCCTTTCATGCCCAGAGAGCCGCCCGCTTTATTTGCCTTGTCTTCACAAGTCTGCCTGTGGCTCAATCTGGCAGGTTTCAGCCTGCAGTGTTTGAAGAAAGGGGCGCAGTAAACCATTCAGAAATAGGATTTATTAATGGGAGGCATGTAATTACTGCCAGGCACAGCAATCTGAAGAGTTTATGGCCTAAGCGTTTGGTGTCATTCATTAAAACAAAGTGGGTTCTTGGCATGGACCCTGTCACCCTGTGACCAGACCTGTCTGTTTATGTAATAGCCCATCCCCTCCATGTCTGCAAGTTGAGCCCAGCTGAAGAAGCAAAGACAGATAAATCACCAGGGCAGGGGTCTGGCTCTGTGGATGATGGGCCTCCCTTGGCCCCTTGGAGAGACAGGTCCTGGTTCCAGAGCAAGGCTCCTAGAAGGGATCATGGCCTGTCTGCTTTTTGTCTCCTGGGCTTCTGACTCTATAGTAATAAGTCAGCACAGGAGCTTTATGAAGGACAGTCCTGAACACTTGAGACTTCTCCAAAGCCTTCCTTGTGTCTATTTCACATGTTAGCAGACCCTCACAGAAGCCCATGAAATGGGCAGTCCAGGTTAGCATTGCCTCTAGAGCAATGAGGAACTGAGGTCCAGAAAACTTCCATGGGTGTCCCAGAGTCACATGGCTGTGGGAACAAGCTTGTGCTGAGCTTCTCTGAGGTCACTCACGCCTCTCAGCTGGGTAGGCCAGGCTGCCTCAGGCCTGCGATGAGGGCATTGGTTTGTCGTGAGGATGGACCTGGCTGTCAGAGGTTCTGCCTGCAGCAGGACTTGCGCTTGAGTCCAGGATTTCTCTTGGCTAGTTCTGTGTGCTTGGGAAATGTGCTCTCCGCCTTAGTTTCCTTAAACAGAAAATGAAGAGAGGGAAATAGGTCAGCTCCCCTCCAGGGTTCGTGAGGATGAAGGGGCACTGCTGGTCTTGGTGCTGGCCAGTCCTCTTCCCCCTGACATGTGACCGCCTCTGAGCCTCACAGAGAGCTGTGTACTACTTACACAGAGATCCTGACACTCCGATGAGATAATAGAGGGAATATGCTCTGGAAAATCCACACACACCATTGAAATGTGAGGTAATAATAGGAACAACGGGTCTGCCACAACCCTGCCAAAAAAACCCAGCAACTTTTGAGACGAAAAGCAGACCTGACTTCTAGAATCTTCATCATTGTGATTGCTTTTGCACAGAGAAACTTTTATGTCCTTTCAAACATCTATCTCAAAATGTTCTTTTATTTTGAGGACTGGAGAGACTGTGTAAAGCACAATATAGGAGCCATAGTAAGCAGCGGGTACATGGTAGGTATCAGTATGCTAATTAGGAGGCTCCGCTGACTGTAAACTCTTCCAGGGGCCTGACGTCTTATTTGTCTTTGTATTCCCTAGGGTCAAGCACAGGTTCTGGTGGATGGTGGGTGCTCAGCAATTATTTATTAAAGCTGAACCAAATTGGCTTTTCTCATGTTCCATGGGTTCTGTGAAGGCAGAGCCCATGTTTTACTCATTTCTCCCTTTCCAGAGCCAGGCCTAGTGTCTGGCACAGAGTAGGTGCTTAGTCAGTTCAGACTGGATGGAAATTAAGTACTGCAAAAAATCAGGCAGACGTTTCTAATGTCTGCACTGAACCGCGAGGGGAACCCAGGGCTCCAGGTAGGAAAGGAGTCTGGGATTTGTAGCCTGAGCAGGAACCGGTCAGATGACAGGCTCACTTCAAAGGCACACGGTGGGGAGGGAAGAGGATGCGGTTTCTCAGCGGCCTTTTTGGCCGTGTGGGAGCTTCGGTTGGCGGCAGAGGTGGGGCAGGGGGAGGTTGGCAGCAGAATGGAGACCTCAGCCAGGGCTATAGAGATGGAACAAATGAGCCAAAGGAGAGGCAGCAGCTCTAATGGAGACAAAACGTGCTTAAAATCTCCTTCCCCTCTCTGCATCTGTAGGACCAATGTGGCAGAAGCGTGTGCGTGTGTGTGTGTGTGTGTGTGTGTGCACGTGCTAGAAGGGAAAAAGGTTTTGCAGCCAAATAAATCGGAGAGCAGGTCCTCCCACTGCAAGCCAAGCCAGGGCTGTGGGAGCTTAAACATGTTTTTTTCCCTCCCGAATCTCCATTTCCTCCTCTTAAAAAATGGGATCCATGATTCTTACCTTACAGGGTTGTTGTGGATATCAAAAGAGTGTTTTGTAAGCAATAAAACAGCCATTTATTAAGCACCTGCTCTCTCCTAGGCACTGAGCCTCATAGCTGCATGGATTTAGTGTGTAATCCCTTTAATCATCTTGAAAGGTAGTTATTATTATCATCTCTGGTCTCCACTTTAGAACAGAGGAAACTGAAGTTCAGAGGTATTGAGTAATTTGCTCAAGTGATAGTGCCCGAAATCCAACTGGATTCGTTTTGTAACGCTTACACGATGAATATGTACATGATGATTATATTTTGCGAATTGTTGTCAAGCCTAAAACTCTCTCATAGGGGCAGTTTTTCTTTACTGTCAGCACTTTTCCTCCCCCATCTCCCTTTTTTTCTGAAAGTGCAAACTTTGGCTAACCTGGCAGTCGGCAGAAGAAGGGTGAGTTCCGCTAGGCCATTTAAACATGATCTGGTTCTCTCTGTCCAGGCGCACTTTGGCTTCAGTGGGACATAGATCAGGGGATTATTTCTAGGAGTTTGTATGAGGGAAAGCTGATGAAAGTTAAACTCTTGGATGACCCAAGAACATCTGAAATATCAAACTATTCCTCCAAAAGAAAACTATCAACTCGACGTTTTTTGGAATCTTTCTTTGAAGCTGTAGCCAAGTGGGAGACAAATGTAGACAATCAGGAAAGCCAATTAACTTTTATTGAACTCTACCATGGGCCTGTGTTTGATGTATTGTCTTCTCGGTCTCTTAGAGTCACCCAGTTTGGTAGGTACCATTAGATCTGTTGGACAAACAAAGATGCTCAAAAGGTAAACATTTGTCTGAGATCACACCACAATCAGGTGTCGGCCAAGATTCAGACCTTAGCTGGTTTGGTCCTGAAACACAGGCCTTTTTTCCTACTACTCTCTGCTTCTCAGTCTGCAAGTCTGCTGATGAGAGCTGTTGCCTCCCCTCAACTCCCCCTGAAAGGAACCTGTCCCTTTGTCTTGTACAGCACCAGAAAGATGCAAAGAAAACTTCATACCTGCAGATTCAGAAGGAAAAGGACTTTGGCTTTGAGACTGCAGGAGACCACCAAAAGGCTGCAGCAGCAAACACGGGTGAGCTCAGCTTTTGGAAGGTGTGCTTTGTGAAATGAACACCGGCTGGACGTTTCTATTTTGGGATGTGGGTCTAGGAATCAGGAACAGGCTGAATCTCTCCCTCTCTCTTTTTTTTTTGGCAAGGTAGGCTGAGCTTGAGGGGAGGAACAAGAAAGAAGCAGGGAAGGAGAGCGCCTTCCAGTTCATTCAATTCAAAGGGAGTAGCATGTAAGTAACCCATGTGCAGATTCCATTATTTAGTTCTATAAAGTAGAAGGTGTCCTACTTGCTCCACCCCATTTAATTTTTTTAACTCTTGAACTGTGTCTGAGAAAAATCAAATGAGCTTTTAAATACTTGGTTTGCATGCCATCTTCAGAGTTCTCCTTCTGGGGCTGCAGCAAGCTCACAGTCATTGGAGTTCACAAGGCACAGGGTTTACTTTCAGCCATGTCACTTACCTCTCTTTGTGGCTTTGTGTTCACTATCTAACATCTCTGACCTCAGTTTTTTCATCTGTAAGACGAATATATTAATGCTTGCTTTTTAAGGTTGGCTTGGTTATAAAGTACTTGATACTTAGCAGACACTCTTTAAACATTCATTACTTTTTCCTCCATGTGTCGCAAAGTGCAAATTCTTTATCTGTATCCTCTTAGGTAAAGAGGTGGGCATGAGTGATGACCTACAATTTTTAGGACAACTTGGATCCACCCTGATTGTTGGCGGGGACCATCCTCTGTGGTTAAGACTTAAGCCAATGCCCATTATGTCATTATGGAGCCTGCAGAAGTGATTACTAATGTTGCTTTTCCAGTTCACTGCTGAGCAGAGAGGAGTTTTTCACACTGCTGGCGGTTTGTTGGAGCACAACGATACAAATCACAGATGGCTTCCTCGGCAGATGTGGCTCTGTAGAGCTGCAGTGTGGGTTTACAAGGGGTTTAATGAAAACCTGGCAGCCTGCCAGGCTTAAATCAATCCTCTGGGGTTCTCAGCTCATACACACACAGGCCAATCTGCAAATGTCCACCCTGTTGATGGTATGGGGAGTGCTAGGGTGAAAAGTTTTTACCTGGGAAACAAAGCCAAACGTATCTGGCTGACTTCACAGGCTTCGGGCCTGGGAGATGGAACAGTGACGTGGAAGGGAAGTTGGTAGGAGGGAGGCCTACATCTGGAAGATGTCCAGGTGGCTACTGCCCAACTGGGGGTGATCTGGGTCCAGGATAGCACGATGGCTTTCCCAGCTGCTTGGGGCTCACATTTTCTTCTCCCTGACCATGGGTTAGTCTGAAAGGAGTAAGCAGGAGCTACAAGCAGTGTATGTGGAATAAGAAAATAGTTTCAGTTTAGTTGATGGTGTAGACTGGAGCTGGGCTTGACTATTGTTGCCTCTGCTTGAAATACTTTTATCCTTCAAATGGTCCATTTGCTATTTTTCATCTGTTTTATTTAGGTTCTAGTGTCATCTCCTTGAAGAAGCCTTCCTTGATCACCTCCCTGAAAGAGAACCTCTGGGCTCTTAGCTATGCACTTGTTTTATAACATACCACAACTTATTTGCCTGTTTGCTTTCTGTTTTGGTCCAGGGAGCAGGATGTAAGCTACCTGTAAGAGCTCCAACTAATGTGGCCCAGTGCCTAGTCAGGTACCTGGAACATAGCAGACATTCAATAAATGTTATTGGATAAATGAATACATTTTGGACAATAATAAATTAGATTAGCGTTTGCAGCTTCATGCCACCACTTATAATCTGTCTGTCTAAATTATTTAATCTTTCTTAGTATGGGTTCTTCAGCTGTAAAGAAGGTTAAAATACAACAGAGGGTATCTGTTTGTGTCATATCTGGCACGTAAGAAACACTTGATAAATCAAAGCTATTATTCAGCCATTGAGAAATTAAATTAACCACAAACAAATATTTACCACATCCCATAGGAAGCATTTTTGCGTACATTATCTTACATGATTCTTCACGAAATCCCTGTGAGACAGTCTTCTTGTTTCAGGACAGTAAAAGAAAAAGCAGACTTGGAGAGATTAAGTACCTTGAACAAGCTCACATAGCTACTCAGTGGCAGAGGCAGTATTGATGCATTTCTATTTTTAAAGCCATAATCTTTCCCCATAATTCCAGGCTGCTTCCTATTAACACTCACTCTGAATAAATAAACATAAGGAAGCCACATTCTCTGTTCTCTGGGGGCTCTGGTTTAGGTGATAAGACATATGTAAGAGTAAAACGAACACTAATAAAAACCAACTCTTTTAAAATGCTGCTTTGAAGTTTACAGAGCTTGTTCCAATATTTACAATATATTCAAGTTTTAAAAGATTATTAACCAGGATATATAAATAATTTAAACAAGTCAATAAGAAAAAGACAACTCAATGGAAAAATTGACAAATTATGAATAGGCAGTTTGAATGGCCAATGATCACATACAAAGATGTTTAACATTACTAATCATGGGGAAATTGAAATGAGGCTAATGATCAGACTGGCAAAAATAACAGAAGAGATCAAGGGTTGATGAGGGCAAGGAGACACATATCATATCACGCTAGTGGTATTATAAATTGATAAAATCAGTTGTGGAAGCCACTGGCAATACCTAGTAGAGGTGAAATTGAACATACCTTGGGACTAGGGCTTCCTCTAGGAAGTAAAATCATTGCCTTGGAGAAGCTCTTGAACATGTGCAGAAGATATACAAAAATGAAATGCTGTTCATTGTACCAAGCATTTCATATAGTGTTGTAGTAAGTATTGGAAATGATCTAAAATACATTAATAGGGGAATGGATAAATAGACTGGTCATTTGTAGATGAAATATAAAAAAGGAGCTGAATGAATAAATTAAGGCTCCACTGAGCAATGTGGGTGAATTGGAGTCACCTATTGTTAGATATAAAGGAGCAAATTGCAGAAACACAGAGATAATTTGATATAATACATGTACATTTAAAAACTGTGTATGATTCTTGGCATCCACTCCACAAACAACAGTTACTATCCCATCAGCATCATCATTCCAATTTGTTTCAACCAGTCTTCTATAACATGTTTTATTACTCTGTCCTTACACCTTCCTGCTCTGCCCAACCAAAATCTGGACAGTTTCCCATGGGCAAGCATCTGGTTTGTCTGTGTCCAAGAATTGGTCTCGGCATTTCAGTTGAGTCTGCCAAACCCAGGGACAAGCAGAATGATTGCTTCTATTTCTCTTGCTCCTATGAGTGTACTCAGAGGTCCCAAGCATTGCTTTTGGGCCCTTTCAGAGTGGAGCTAACATAAATATATGAGTATGTGTGAGTGTGTGTGTCTATCTCTATCTCTCTCAGAGTCTTTGATGGTCAATTTTATATGTCAACTTGGCTGACCAAACATTATTCTGGGTGTTTTTCAACTTTGAATAAAGCAGAATGCTATTCATAATGAAGATGGGACTCACCAAGTCAATTTTAAAAAAGACTGATTTCCTCTGAGCAACAGGGAATTCTGCAACAGATAGCTTTTCAACTAGAACCATAACATCAGCTCTTTCTGGGTCTCCAGGCTGCTGTTCTACCTAGTAGATTTTGGACTTGGAAGCTTCCATAAAGATGTGAGCCAGTTTCTTAAATAAATCTCCTTCCATGTGTATACACAACCTCTTGGTTCTGTTTCTCTGGAGAACCCTGAGTAATACAGAGTTTGCCATCTCTAGTTCGGATCCAGTACCACTGGGCTCTTGATATTCTTGTATCTTTCATCTTTTACAGTGAGAATCCTGGTTTCCAATAAAGTTAATGTATTTACTCATTTGTTCTAACCCAAATATATGTAAGAAATCAACTATTCTGGGTTCTTCAAAAATGTCAATGTCATGGAAAAAAAAGCAGAAGTAATGTCATATATTAGATAAAATTAAGAAACATGAAAACCAAATACACTGCATGATACTTGTTTGGGTTCTGGATTGGAAAAAAGAAAAAATCCATAAAGGCCATTATTGAGAAAGTTTGAACATAGAATATATATTAGATAATATTTCATAAATGTTAAATTTTTGAAGAATGATAATGATATCATGTGAGGGAATATAATTGTAAGAGATAGGAGATGCATGTTGTATTATTTAGAGATGCAGTGTTTTGATGTTGGAAAGTTATGCTTGCATGGCTCACACAACGTGTATGTATTATGTAATATATACAGAGAGAGATGGATAGGGAAAGAGAAAGAGTGGTGTGTATGTGTGACCATACATGAGAGAGAAGGAGAGAAAATAGCAAATGTGGCAAAATATTAACTTTTGCTAAACCTAAGTGTAGAAAAAATAGGAGTTAATAGGACTATTGATTTTTTTGTTGAATTTTTTGGTTTGAAACTTTTGGAAGACAAAATGTGGGTGAAATGGTATCAAATATTATATTTCAACTATTGTATACCTATACAATTGTTGTGAGAACATTATACATCAAGTATTATGAGTTTGTAACAAGTATTATATGTGGGGGACCCCTGCAAAACCAGAATTCACTTACAAAAATTGTGTATTTATTCTCACATGTTTAAACTTCAGTCACCTTCAAAGTACTCTCCATTTGATGCAATACACTTATCAAGGTGTTTTTCCACTGCTTCAAACAGCTTTTAAATTTATCAATTTTGATGCCTTTTAGTGCTTATGCTGGTTTTTAAAAAATATATTTTATTAATTATGCCATTACAGTTGTCCCCTTTCCCCCTTCATTCCCCTCCACCCTGCACACCCTCTCCCCCCATTCTCCCCCTTTAGTTCATGTCCATGTGTCATAAGTTCTTTAGCTTCTACATTTCCCATACTATTCTTGCCCTCCCCCTGTCTATTTTCTACCTACCATCTATGCTACTTATTCTCTGCACCTTCTCCTCCCTTCTTCTCTTCACACTCCCCTGTTGCTAACCCCTCCATGTGATCTCCATTTCTATGACTCCATTCCTGATTTAGCCATCCACATAGTTTGCTTTTGTTCTAGGTGTGGTTGTTAATAACTGTGAGTTTGCTGTCCTTTCACTGTTCATCTTTTTTATCTTCTTTTTCTTAGATAAGTCCCTTTAACATTTCATATAATAAGGGCTTGGTGATGATGAACTGCTTTAACTCAACCTTATCTGAGAAGCGCTTTATCTGCCCTTCCACTGTAAATGAAAGCTTTGATGGATAGAGCAATCTTGGATCTAGGTCCTTGCATTTCATGACTTGGAATACTTCCTTCCAGCCCCTTCCTGCCTGCAAGGTCTCTTTTGAGAAATCAGCTGACAGTCTGATGGGAACTCCATTGTAGGTGATTGTCCCCTTATCTCTTGCTGCTTCTAGAATTCTCTCCTTCATTTTAATTTTGGCTAATGTAATTATGATGTGCCTTGGTGTGTTCCTCCTTGGGTCCAACTTCTTTGGGACCCTCTGAGCTTCCTGGATTTCCTGGAAGTCTATTTTGTTTGCCAGATTGGGAAAGTTCTTCTTTATTATTTGTTAAAATAAGTTTTCCACTTTTGGTGTTCCTCTTCCCCTTCTGGTATCCTGATAATTTGCATGTTGGAATGTTTAAAGATGTCCTGGAGGTTCCTAAGCCTCTCCTCATTTTTTAAATTCTTGTTTCTTCATTTTTTTCTGTTTGGTTGTTTCTTTCTTCCTTCTGGTTCACTCCATTGGTTTGAGTCCCAGTTTTCTTTCCATCACTATCGGTTCCCTCTGCATTTTGTTTCATTTTACTTAGTGTAGCCTTCATTTGTTCCTGTAATTTGTGACTAAAATCAACCAGTTCTGTGAGCCTCCTGATCACCAGTGTTTTGAACTGTGCATCTGATAGGTCGGCTATTTCTTGGTTGTTTAGATGTATTGGCTCTGGGGCTTTGATCTGTTCTTTCGTTTGAGCTATTTTTTGTTGTTGTTGCACCTGTTAGGTATGAAGGGTGGAGCCTTAGGTGTTCACCAGGGTGAAGCAATCCAGTGGCTGCGTTGTGATGCTGTATGTGGGGACAGGGTCAGAGAGGGAGTGATGGTGCTTGTTCCTTTCTCTCCCGATCGAGGTCCCCTCTGCCACTTCCTACAAGCAAATTGGGCCCTTCTGGTCCTGGTTCCTGGGTGTGTTGGCTTGTGTACAATCTAGGACCCTGTGGGTTTTCCCACTGAACTCTCCTGTGAGGCTGGGAGCCTCTCCTGGCACTTCAACCCCTGAAAGTTTTTCTAGTTGGTGCTTTTAGGCTTTATTTCCCATTGCTGGGGCCCTGGGTTGCACGGTCTGTCTCACTGACCATTTTTAAACCTGCCTGGCTTATCTGTGCGTGAATGTGTGTCCGTGGTCAGCTAGCTGTCTTGCGAGCCTTACTGGACCTGCCCAGGTCCACTAACTACCGCCTTTTCCTGCCAGGACCCCTCTCCACTGGCTACCAACTATGCTCCTCTTACCGGTCTGGATGAATGGTTCATTGTTGTCGGACTTTGGTACAGTTCAATTTTTCTGTCTGTTTTGGTTGTGTTTTTGTTTCTAAATCTTTGTTGTCCTTAAATTTGGTTATGTGAGGAGGTACAGTATTTCCATCTACAAGTCCATCTTGGCCGGAAGTCGCTTCTGCTGTTTTTTGTTTTACCTCTTCCATATAAGAAAAACATTTTCCTTTGAGGAATTTTTTTCATCCAGGGAAACAAAAAATGTTATTTGGGGTGAAATTGGGTGAATGGGGAGGGTGGGACATGGGGGTCATGCTGTTTTAAGTCAAAAACTGCTGAACACTCAGCATGGTGTGGCAAGTGTGCCCATAAATCACCCATCATGAAATGGGCAAAGGCATTGAAAGAGTCTTCAAAAAAATTTGCTGATGTGAAATTCAGCTTCTCATGCCACGATCAGCCAATACATTGATACAGAGGGGTTCCTAGAACACTCACCTAGTGGGGGAAAGCCTGTACTACAAGGGGCTTGCCCTCCAGAAGATAATTCCAGTTCTTTGTTTCCCCTTGTATATTAAGTACTGACTTTATTCTAAGTAGTTTACATATATCATGGCTTTATTAAATTCTCATTATAACCCTTTGAAGTAGCTAACATTACTTTACAGTTGAGGGATCTGAGGCTCAGACAGATGCAGAAACTTGCATAAGGTCACCCAGCTTGCAGGAGGCTTCGAGAGAGGAGTGACCTGCTCAGGCCATCAGCTGGATAGTGGCCATGGCAGGATTAGGACTGAGGTGTGTGATTCTTCTGGGGCTGGGTCTATTACCTCAGAAAGGTTCTTCCTTTTTGTTTTCTTAAGTACTGGAGCGCCATTTAGAGAAAGTTGCTTCCAGCTTATTCAAAAAAGAAAAGATTCTGTTTCCCCATTCTGCTTTGAAAAAGATAAGGCATCCAGCTTCCTGTCCTTGGCTCTTGCCCAGACCTTTTATACTCATTCTTAGCAATGCATGTTCTTCCTGGTTTTTGGGTCACAACTTTATCAGATGCCAGAGATTTGAAAACCCAAGCAGGCAGCAGATGCTTCGGACTAAAGGCCAGCATTCCTAATCATAAGCTGAGGGACAGTGATTCTTTGTTTGCTTCTAGCTATTCTCACGCTATTCACTTTAAACACAAGCATAGAGTTAGCCTGGTACAGTGTTCTGCAAACTGAGGGGCATGACCCACTAGCGGGTCTTGAAATCAATTTAGATGCTGGCTGTCAGCATTTAAAAATGATTTAGAATCAAGTTAGATAGAAGAGAAAATACCAGTACATGCTCATTTTGAAGGCAGGTATTGTTTTGTCAATGCATATACACAAACACACAGAAACACGCACATATGTTTGTTTTGAATGATGGTATAAATTTTACTTCTTACTATTAGTCACAATTAAAACAATTCAAAAGTTACTTGTTCAAGGGGACAGTGACCAGAGGGGAGAGGGAAGGGAATTTAAGGGGAAAAAGGGGGAGGGATTTGGAGGAACAAATAGGAAGGACACAGGGACGAGAACTAAGGGGGTGGAAATGGGAGGGAGGTGGGGAGCACAGGGCGGGGGAGGCTGGGATGGGAGAAATAGACAAAAAACTGTACTTGAAAAATTACTAAATAAAATTTTTTTAAAAAGCCACTGGAAGCTCTTCACAGTTAAAAAAAAAGTTACTTGTTCAGAGCAGGGGCCAGCCAATGCCTGTCCTGTTAGAACACAGGCATACCCACTTGTGTGCGCATTGTCTTCAACTGTGCTCACAGTACAGTGTCAGAGTTCAGTGGTTGTGACACACTATATGGCCTGCAAAGCCTAAAATATTTGCTATTTGGACCTTCACAGAAAAATGTGTTGGCCCCTATGGTCCATAATGAGGCAAAAACTTCTAATTCAAAGTCAAATAAAGCTTCCATTGTATACAATCTCTAGACTGTCTCTCTAGTGTTTCTCCCCCAATAACTATCTAAGTTGTAGTTGTCACGTATGGATTTATGTAAATGCATATGCAAATACAGAAAAGTAGGCATGATGAGAGCAATTCTTGCCTAAATATCTATTTCTAACATAATATGCAGAGTATTCAGATGCAGTGTTCTGCTAGCACCCAGCAAACAGGATGGCCTTTCCATAGTAGGAAAATATTTCAGTGTTTAACCTCATCGCACTCAACCAGACATTTCCTTGCACAGATTTTCAAGTAAAATATTTCAATCCTGCATTCATCTTGGGGGCCACATGTCTTATCCAAGTTAAATATTTCCAGAAAATAAATGTCTAGACACCGTCTCATATAAATTAAGCACCCGGTTTTTAAAAGATTTCTAGCAGACCTCCTTTTTGGTGTGTGGGTGAGTATAATTCTACTCCTGTGAAAAGTTATGGGTAAAATCTGATGAGCCTATGTCTGTGCACCTGCAGGTAACTAAGGAGCACTGCCCAGACGTTAGTGGACAGTGGGACAAGATGGGGGCAGACAAGACTCGGGAGTGTATTCCATAGAAGAGGAGAGTTTCCTTTTTTGATATCATCTTCTACAGGAATCTTGGATGGAAAGCACATGTATGTTGAAACCTTACCACAGAGAGGCTGGCCATAAGTGTTGAGTCCTCTTATTGAAAAATGAAGAATGTGTCAGTGACCACACATGAAGATGAGATTCGGCTGCACTGCTTTGACTTTCCATTTTATTCATGTTTGAGGTCTTTCAAATCATGGGCTTTGTTTAATCAAGTGAGCCATTTTTAATGCTTTTGATACTTATATTTTCTTTAATATATACTTCTGTGTCACTGTGATGTAATTTGGTAATTTTACTAAAAGTGAAATTTTAAGAAAGATCAAATACTTAAAAGAAAAATCATAAAGTGTTTTTAAAGCTACTTTTATATTTTAATAACATATTTATGTTTAAAATAAACATTATATTTATATAAATGTAAATTTTATACTACATAAGTATAAAAATTATAAAATGTTTAATATAAACATTATAAATATAAATATTTATAATTCATATGAATATACAAATATACATTTTATGTACAAATGAATTACATATTATACTTTATTTGGTATAGTCTTATTACCTATTTTAGCTACATTTATTATTATAAAGAAAATAATTCTACATGAGAGAATTTATAGTGGAATATATTGAACCACCTGAAATTCTACGGAGAAGTAATTCAAGAAGCAGTCATTACTTTCCCCCTTCTAGGTTTTTATAAAATTATGCACAGTACTCTTCTGTGCATCATATTTTTTTTAAGGAAGAAGACTTGGGAGAATATTCAGGAAATGGAGAGAAGAAAGAAAGAGAGTTTACGTTTTATTGAAATACATGTAAAAGCCTTTTATTTTCCTTAGCCTAAATCCTCCAAACAAAAAACAACAAGGTTTCTCGGTATGCCTTCATTTCCCTGTATTCATTCAATGACTGGTTTATGGATGTCTACTGTGTGCCAGGCATGAGGCTCGGTGCCAGAGAGCAGAAAGAGCAAGGCCTATGCTCTAACGAGATGTCCATGCAGAGGGAAGGGTGTGAGGAAAGACAGGAAACAAACAAGGTAATTTCAGACAGCGATAAAACTAGGACTAGAACAAGACCTGATGATGTGCTGGACAGAATGGGCATGTTAGCCTGGGGAATCTGGGAAGGCCTCTTCAAAGAGGTGATGTTGGAGTTGAGTTCCAAATAAAGAGAACCCAGCCTTGTAAAGACTGGAGGAAAAAACTTGGAAAGCAGAGGAAAAGAGCTGATGTAAAAGTCTTGAGGGGAGATGTGGGAAAGAATTTATTTTGAGTTTGCATCTTGTATGAATAACTTTTGGATCATTATTTTTAAAAGTAAGCTTATCGGATCCTTGTCATTTCAGTCTCACAAGAAAAAGGTTCAGTGGTCAAATGATTTGGAAATTGGGTGGAGCTAATGATAATGCCTTTTTGCTGAGCTGGCATTTCTTAGCAAGCTCCATGGTAAGGTGACTGGTCTCCACAGCTGAAGATTCTCTGAACTCTGCATAGGACATTCTGTGCAAGACTTTATTTTCCAAAGATAGCTACAACAATCTCTCTCATCCCACGTAGTCTTCCTATAATATAACCTTGACATTCACAATTTTAATTAGGGACATTTCGTTTTTTCCTCTGGAATCTGGATGGCCTTGGACTATACTAGACATGACTCCATGTGACATCAGGTGCCAAGTCACAAAAGGCAATATGATACAGCTTCCTTTTGGTTCTCTTGGGATGGCAACTCTTAGAACCCAGCTGCAGTGCTGTGATGAAGTACAGGTAGACACATGGAGTGGCTTCCTGTAGGCTGTAATTGACAGCCTCAGTGGAGGCTCTCACCAACATCTGCATCAGCCCCAGACATGATCTCTGCTCCCACCTGTTAGCCTACTGTCTTCCAGCTGAGGCCCCAGACACTAAAGAGACACATTAAAGAGAGCAGCTGTGTCTGCTATGCCCTTCCCCAATTTTTGACTCACAAAATCTTTGAGTGCAATAAAATGATTGCTGTTTTATACTATAAGGCTTATTTCATATTGGTAGACAACTGGACAGGTCCTTAGTGCCTTATTGTCAGCTGTAGGCACTGGTGGTCTTTTTAGGCAAGAGACACTCCCTTCAGGCTCTAAAGCCATTGTACTGAAAACTCAACCTAGTGGGATCCCAGGGATCAAGTCCTTTATCACTAAGATGAATGGGAAGCTGGATCATGCAAAAAGCTGAGCTGGGTAGAAAAGAGGCAAAAGTCCCACTCCTGCACATTGTTGCTGGTAGAAAGCCAGCTGCCATCCATATCTGTACAGTCTATCTGCTGGCTTTCATGCTCTCCAAAATGTGGCCCTTATTCCACAAGAGCACTCAGAGCCAAAGGACAGGCATCATCTTCATATGTCCCAACCAAACTAAATTATTTGTCACCTTTGAGAGTGGTGTGCAAAGTACCCCTCCCCCAAAAGTTTTGTTCAAGCTATTCCTCCAATGCATCAAAATCCACATGCAAATGCATTCCCCACTCCAGTTGGGAAGGAGTTTACTATTTAGTCTCTTTGAACTCTACAGCATAGAGATGAATAATAGCCTCTGCAGATATTCCGCCTGATTCAAACCCAACTTATTAGATCATGGGCACATTACTTAAAATGTTTAAGGTTCATTTTCCTCATCTGTAAAATGTGGGTGATTATGTTAGTGCATATTTCATAGAGATATTGTAAGAATTAAATGACTTAATTTGTGAGAACATTTCAAAAGCACCTGGCTCATAGTAAGCACTATAGTAAACTATACATATGAAACATATATTTATAATATAAATATTTGAAATGTACAGGATATATGAGTTTTGTATCTGTTTTGTTTGTTCATTTATTTTGTTTTTGCAGATTCCACATATAAGCAAAATCATATGGTATTTATCTTTCTCTGTCTGACTTATTTTACCTAGCATAATACCCTTCAGATCCATTTATGGTGTTGCAGATGGTAAGATTTCATTATTTTTCATGGCTGAGTAATATTCAATTATATATATATAATTCAATTATACACACACACACAGGTTGCTTCCATATTTTTTTTAATTTTAATTTTATTGATTATGCCATTACAGTTGTTCTATTCCCCCCTTCATTCCCCTCCACCCTGCACACCCCCACCCCTACCGTTCCCCCTTTTAGTTTATGACCATGTGTCTCAAGTTCTTTAGATTCTATATTTCCCATACTATTCTTGCCCTCCCCCTATCTATTTTATACTTACCATCTATGCTACTTATTTTCTGTATCTTTTCCCCCCTTCTCCTTCTCCCACTCTCCTGTTGCTAACCCTCCATGTGGTCTTCATTTCTATGGTTCTGCTCCTGATCTAGCTGTCCTTTTAGCTTGCTTTTGTTTTAGATGTGGTTGTTAATAACTGTGAGTTTGCTGTCTTTTCACTGTTCATCTTTTTTAACTTCTTTTTCTTAGGTAAGTCCCTTTAACATTTCATATAATAAGGGCTTGGTGGTGATGAACTCCTTGAATTTGATCTTATCAGAGAAGCACTTTATCTGCCTTTCCATTCTAAATGAAAGCTTTGCTGGATAGAGCAGTCTTGGTTGTAGGTCTTTGGATTTCATGACTTGGAATACTTCTTTCCAGCCCCTTCTTGCCTGGAAGGTCTCTTTTGAGAAATCAGCTGACAGTCTGATGGGAACTCCTTTGTAGGTGACTGTCCCCTTATCTTTTGCTGCTTCTAGGATTCTCTCTTTCATTTTAATCTTGGCTAATGTAATGATGATGTGCCTTGGTGTGTTCCTTCTTGGGTCCAACTTCTTTGAGACTTTCTGAGCTTCCTGGATTTCCTGGAAGTCTATTTCCTTTGCCAGATTGGAGAAGTTCTCCTTTATTATTTGTTTGCATAAGTTTTACACTTGTTGCTCTTCCTCTTCCCTTTCTGGTACCCCCTAATAAAATTGTTGAAACACTTGAAGATGTCCTAGAGGTTCCTAAGCCTTTCCTCATTTTTTTGGATTCTTGTTTCTTCATTCTTTTCTGGCTGGTCATTTTTTTCCTCCTTCTGGTCCACTCCTTTGATTTGAGTCCCAGTTTTCTTTCCATTACTATTGGTTTCCTGTGCATTGCCATTCATTTCAATTAGTTTAGCCTTCATATGTTCCTCTAATTTGTGACTAAAATCAACCAGTTCTCTGAGCATCCTGATCACCAGTGTTTTGAACTGTGCATCTGAAAGTTTTGCTATTTCTTCGTCACTTAGATTTATGGGCTCTGGGGCTTTAAGATCTTCTTGAGCCATTTTTGGTCCGTTCGCACCCATTAAGTATGAGGAGCGGAGCCTTAGGGGCAGGCCGGGGCCTCCAGGGCGGGGTCGCTGGGTTGTGACGCTGTATGTGGGGGCGGGGTCAGAGTGGGGAAATGGTGGCCCTCTCTGCCGCCTCTTGTTGTTGGGACCCGCTCAGTCCCATCTCACTGCCTACTCCCTCGCCAGTCTATCTCTGCAGAAATGCGCCAGCACAGTCAAACCACTGCCCTTCATCCTTGCAGGATCTGCCAGTTGCTCACTGGGTCGCACACTGGGTCCACACTTTGCAACCCCAGGCCTGGGATCCGCACGCCTGGGATCCGCACGCCTGAGTCAGTCTGACCGAGTTTTCCTGTGCAACCCTGCTCCACCAGCTGCTGGTTTCACCCCTCTTACCAGTCAGGCTGAAGCATTCATTGTTATCAGACTTCCGAAAAGTTCAATTTTCTGTGTTCTGGCTGTGTTTTCTGTTGCTAATATTTTATTGTCTCTAAATTTGGTTGTTTCTGCTTCCATATCTTGACTATGGAAAATAATGCTGCAATAATCATAGGAGTGCATGTATCTTTTTGCATTAGTGTACTGGATTTCTTCAGATAAATACCCAAAAGTGGAATTGCTGGGTCATATAGTAGTTCTATTTTTAATTTTTTGAGGAATCTCCATACTGTTTTCCATTGTGGCTGCTCCAGTTTACATTCCCATCAATATTGCACAAGGTTTTTTTCTCTACATCTACACCAACACTTGCTATCTGTTGATTTATTGATAATAAGCATTCTGAAAGGCATGAGGTGATATGTCATAATGGTTTTGATTTGCATTTCCCTGATGATTAGTGATATTGTGCATCTTTTCATATGTTTGTTGGCCATCTGTATGTCCTCTTTGGATAGATGTCTTTTCAGGTTCTC